AAGGTGTCCAATATGCTACTGGGGAAGAGCAGAGGGCTAGTACTAGTAGCGCCAGAAAGAATGAAGCGACTGGGCCAAAGCCGAAAGGACGCTCAGCTGTGGATATATCTGGTGGTGAAAGGAAAGTCCGATGCTGTAAAGATTTTTTCTCCATAGGAACCTGGAATGTAAGATCCATGAATCAAGGCAAGCTAGACGTAGTCAAAAAAGAGATGACAAGACTGAACATCGACATCTTAGGAATCAGCGAACTAAAATGGACAGGAATGGGTGAATTTAACTCAGATGACCATCAGGTATACTACTGTGGGCAAGAATCCCTCAGAAGAAATGGAGTAGCCTTCATAGTCAATAAAAGAATAGGAAAAGCAATACTGGGATACAATCCCCAAAATGACAGAATGATCTCAATTCGAATCCAAGGCAAACCATTCAATATCACAATAGTCCAAATCTATGCCCCAACCACTGGTGCTGAAGAGGATGAAATTGACCGGTTCTATGAAGCCCTACAGCACCTTATAGAATTAACACCAAAAAATGATGTCCTTATCATCATGGGGGATTGGAATGCTAAGGTAGGAAGCCAAAAGATAACCGGAATAACAGGCAAGTTTGGCCTTGGAGTACAAAATGAAGCAGGGCACAGGCTAATAGAATTTTGTCAAGAGAATACGATGGTCATAACAAACACTCTTTTCCAACAACCCAAGAGACGGCTCTACACATGGACATCACCAGACGGTCAACATAGAAATCAGATTGACTATGTGCTCTGCAGCCAAAGATGGAGAAGCTCTATACAGTCAGTAAAAACAAGACCAGGAGCTGACTGTGGCTCAGATCATGAGCTTCTCGTTGCAAAATTTAGGCTTAAATTGAAAAAAAGTAGGGAAAAGCACTAGGCCACTCAGGTATGAACTAAATCATATTCCTGATGAATATACAGTAGAGGTGACAAATAGATTTAAGGAATTAGATCTGATAGACAGAGTGCCTGAAGAACTATGGATGGAAGTTCGCAACATTGTACAAGAGGTAGCAATTAAAACCATCCTAAAGAAAAAGAAATGCAAGAAAGCAAATGGCTGTCTGAGGAAGCTTTGCAAATAGCTGAGGAAGAAGGAAAGCGAAAAGGCAAAGGAGAAAGAGAAAGATACACCCAATTGAATGCAGAATTCCAGAGAGTAGCTAGAAGAGATAAGAATGCCTTCTTAAATGAACAGTGCAAAGAAATAGAAGAAACAACAGAATAGGGAGGACCAGAGATCTTTTCAAGAAAATTGGAGATATGAAGGGAACGTTTCATGCAAAGATGGGCATGATAAAGGACCAAAATGGCAGAGACCTAACAGAGGCAGAAGAGATTAAGAAGAGATGGCAAAACTACACAGAAGAACTATACAAGAATGAGCTTAACATCCCAGATAACCACAATGAGATGGTCATTGACCTCGAACCAGACATCCTAGAATGTGAAGTGAAATGGGCCTTAGAAAATCTGAGCAACAACAAAGCTAGTGGAGGTGACAGTATTCCAGCTGAGCTATTCAAAATCTTAAAGACGATGCAGTAAAAGTGCTACACTCAATTTGCCAGCAAATTTGGAAAACTCAACAGTGGCCACAGGATTGGAAAAGGTCAGTTACATTCCAATTCAAAGAAAAGGCAATGCCAAAGAATGTTCAAACTATCGACACCATTGCACTCATTTTCACATGCTAGTAAGTTGATGCTTAAAATCCTACAAGCTAGACTCCAGCAGTATGTAGATCGAGAACTACCAGAAGTACAGGCAGGATTTCGAAGAGGCAGAGGAACTAGAGATCAAATTGCCAACATACGCTGGATCATGGAGAAAGCTAGGGAGTTCCAGAAAAACATCTACTTCTGCTTCATTGACTATGCAAAAGCCTTTGATTGTGTGGATCACAACAAATTGTGGCAAGTTCTTAAAGAGATGGGAGTACCAGACCATCTTATTTGTCTCTTGAGAAACCTATATGCGGGTCAAGAAGCAACAGTGAGAACTGGACACGGAACCACTGATTGGTTCAAAATTGGAAAAGGAGTCCGGCAAGGCTGTATACTGTCGCCCTGCCTATTTAACTTATATGCAGAGACATCATGAGAAAGGCAGGGCTAGATGAAACAAAAGTTGGAATTAAGATTGCCGGGAGAAATATCAACAACCTAAGATATGCAGATGATACCACTCTAATGGCAGAAAGTGAAGAGGAACTAAAGAGCCTCTTGATGCGGGTGAAGAAGGAGAGTGCAAAAGTAGGCTTGAAACTCAACATTAAGAAAACCAAAATCATGGCATCCGGCCCTCTCAATTCCTGGCAAATAGATGGGGAAGAAATGGAGGTAGTGACAGATTTTATTTTTCTGGGCTCAAAGATCACCTCAGATGGGGACTGCAGCCAAGAAATTAAAAGACGCTTGCTCCTGGGGAGGAAAGCTATGGCAAATCTAGACAGCATACTAAAAAGCAGAGACATCACCCTGCCAACAAAAGTGCGTATAGTCCAGGCCATGGTTTTCCCAGTTGCAATGTATGGCTGTGAAAGTTGGACCATAAGAAAGGCTGAGCGCAAAAGAATTGAGGCCTTTGAACTATGGTGCTGGAGAAGACTCCTGCGAGTCCCTTGGACTGCAAGGCGTTCAAACCGGTCAGTCCTAGAAGAGATCAACCCCGACTGCTCTTTAGAAGGCCAGATCCTGAAGTTGAAACTCAAATACTTTGGCCACCTAATGAGAAGGAAGGACTCACTGGAGAAGGGCCTAATGCTGGGAAAGATTGAGGGCAATAGAAGAAGGGGACGACAGAGAATGAGATGGCTGGATGGAGTCACTGAAGCAGTAGGTGTGAACTTAAATGGACTCCAGAAGATGGTAGAGGACAGGAAGACCTGGAGGAATATTGTCCATGGGGTCGCGATGGATCGAACACAACTTCGCAATTAACAACAACAACATATTAACTTATTTGCCTGCCCATGTACTACAAGGGCCCTTGTGCATTCTAGAGGATTTGGGTGGGGGCAGGGAGACATCGTCTGGCTTCACAAACATATTTTTTTAAAGTACCACTTCCTAAACTTTACCATCATATCCTATGAAATGAATGTGTAATTCTAATATTCTCTGCCTATATCTGTGCAAATAAACATATTTAAGCAAATAAATAAGACCTAAGGATTAAAGCTAGTACAAGTCTCTCTTTAGCCATGGGAACTCACTCACTCTCAGGCCAACTGACCTTGCAAAATCATTGTTGTAAAATGAAGGGAGATTCTTAGATAAGCCATATTTTGCTCCTGGAGAAGAGGCAAAATATAAATATAACAAATAAAATTATATTCATTAATGGAGCAAACCATAATTCAAAGAAGAGATAACAGTTATCCCATTCAAAAGTAATGTTTTGTAATTCTTCAGTAATGGTGCCTCCAGGTTGTAAGAAAAATATTTTGAATGATGGAATTTAAGCTGTCTAAAAGCACTTAGAACTTTATGCTATACTGTAATATAGTTTTGATCATTTATTTATATAATTGTTTATATAATTATTTTTTGGCATGAATCATTTACGCAGAATTAATGCTTGCCTGACTGTGAAGTTCATCAGGCAGAGTATTGGCATCAAATATAAATTTTATCCCAGCCAAATTGGGATATTTCCAATGGTGGGATTCAGCTGGTTCGCATCGGTTTGGCAGAATTGATACCTATTTTTTTGTTGAGTTCGGCGAACTGGTTATGATAAATCTGAGTTCTTCTATGGCCACTTGTGAACACACACCACGTGGCACATTGTGCCGCTACTGCCATTCATGGCAAGACGCTGTGTTGTTCTTTCTGCTGATTGTGCCATTGCATCTCGCATCAGGACGTGGTGTGGCTCTTTGTACTGATTGCACCACTGTTGCTGCTCACACCAGGACACTGCGTAGCTCACACAGATTGCGCTAGTGCTGCTGCTCACTGCAGGAGGCCGCAAGGCTCATCATGCCCATTGGTGTGAGTGGTGGCACCGCCGCCATCGGCGTGATGTGCTGGGCACCCTCCTGCCGCAAGTAGCAGCACTGGTACTATCAGAGCAACGAGCCTCGCAGTTTCCTGCCACAACTGAGATTCTACTCTTACAGTGAACAGATGGTTAAGGATAAATGACACAGCTGATGATGCTCGGATAAAAGTGAAGAAAATTGCAAGTGAGGACGCCAATCAAGAAGCAATATGGAAATATCTTAAATAACAGTTTTATTGTTTTGTCAGGTATTGTTTAATATTTTTTCATTAATATTTTAAAACTCTTTCTTGTAACATAATCTAGTTTTGTGTACCTCTTTTATTGTTCTTATTTAAGTATTAAATGCATGAAATAATAAACTACCTTTCGGTATATCATTTTTTTATACTTAAAATGGTCATTAGGGCAGAGAACCAGTTGTTAAATTATTTAATAATTTAACAACTGGTTCTCTGGATATTTCCACATTACCTCAAGATATTTTGATATCAATTCCCAACACATTTAGCCAATGTGGATTGGATACCGCTATTCTAAGTAAATGGTGTAAAATTAAATGGCATTTTTTCCCCAGAATCTATTTCAAATACATTAACATAAACATGGTTTGGGGTTTAAGATAAGATAATTCTCTGGCCATTTGTGTTAAAATATCCTGATTTCCTGCCTGGATTTATTCAAATGAGAAAGATATTGAACATTAAGAATACAAAACAAATCATATTACAGTGTATGCAGTTAGAATTTTTTGTCTAACTTTGAAACTGACTATGAATATTCTGAATAGTTTTCTGACTCTTCTGGGGTATCTATCATTGCATCTTTAATTTGATAGGAGCTACCTTCTTCCTATATGAAAACCTCATATTGCCTACTTCCTTGTTGCAGAAAAATATTGCTCATTTGAAAAAAAAAAGTTAAAAGGTAACTGAAATATTTTAAACAACAAGTTATCCTGGGTCAGTATGTAAATTACCAATTTTATGCTAAAATGTTTCTATATTACGCAAAATTAAGTCTAACAAATCTTCAGTAGGAATAGTTGAAGAAGGAAGCATTTGGCTAACATAGTTATGTTATAGATAAACCAATGATTTCTGAGTGTAACCCTCTCAACTAAATATCATGTAGAAGAAGATGTAGTAATCATCATGTCTTTCAAGGGCAGAATCTATTAATTAATTATTATGTGAGATCCACTTTGGACAAACATAAGTTAGTGGAAATTGACATGTTGGAGGCCCAGTACACTTTCAGCTATAGACTATATCTATTCTCTCCATGCAGGTCCCTTGCATTAGGCCAGCAATATACATCCCTGGGCTCTCAGCCAATTCTCTGTGGTTCAATTCCTGGCTTAGTGCCTAAGCAACTTCGTTTCTGCCGAAACTACATTGAGATCATGCCCAGTGTGGCGGAAGGTGTGAAGCTGGGAATTCAAGAGTGCCAACATCAGTTCCGGGGGAGACGCTGGAATTGCACCACCATTGATGACAGCTTGGCTATTTTTGGGCCTGTTCTAGATAAAGGTATAATACATAGTATGCTGGGGGGGGGGCATTAGGCAACATGTTTTATATGCTGGAAGAATAGTTTCTGTGTTCTCCAAGTATTAGGAACGTTGTAGGGTCAGGACTGGGAAAGACTCTGATATTGGAAAATAAATTCCATCAGAACAAAAAATGGTTAGATGAAGATAAGAAAACCAAAGTGACTATACTCACATATTGTGCTTAGCCATAGTTGACTTCCCTATGTTTGGTTGAATAAGTCATTGTGATTTAATTAATTCTGCATGCTAAATCATAAATACTGGCTTGTAAACCACAAATGGTTTAATACATTATATATTAAAACCACCATTGTTATGGCATAGTGTAATTTATGAACTCAGACTCTTTTAAAATATTGTATATAGGTCATATTAAAGTCTTAATATGAATTCTATAAACTGAATTCTAATACTTCACATGAATTCAGTTCCATACTGTAGCAAAGTGTAGTCCTGAACAAATTAAAGGAAACATATATGCCAGAGAAGCAATTTTAAGAGGATGGTAAGATATCCCCAAATATATTTTCATAGGGAGAGAGATTATTCAGTTATTTTGTAAACCAGAGTCAAGGTATCTCAAAGTAAGTGCTAATCATAATTTCAAGGTTTCTTTCATTTGTTTGTTTGTTTCTTTTCTCCAATGTTTATCTACATTTCCCAAGAGGGAAATAACTGAGATATCTTAAAATAAAATTGTCCTACTTGTAAGAACTGACCATTTTGTGAGAACGTAATTTCACTTCAGCAGTCCAGAGAAAATGAATAGAACTTCAAGGCCCAAAGAATGAGGCATTATTTTTGCTGCATTGCTAGCAAAAAATTCTGAGTTTACTGAATATGTTTTCTTCAGAAAACTGAGAAAGTTACTGAAAAGGTGTTTAAAAAATTGTGGGATTTTCACACAGAAACTGATCACCATCTAGAACACAATGCACTATATATAAAGCAATGGAAAAGATAGAAGTAATTTTTATAGATATGGCAATACCTGGGGGTAGAAGAACACAAAAAAAAGAATAGGAAAAATGTAAAATATAGAGCTCTACTGTTAGCAAGAAGTAAGTATTGGGGGAGGGGAGAGTTTGCAAAGATGTCCCCATGTGCATTACATAAAACAACAAATTCACTTAATTAAGCAAATATTTATAATTAAGTAAATGTTTATGAGAACTAAATGATTTGGTTTTATCAATTGTGAATTTTAAAAAAACACTTTGAATGAGCACATTTTACATGATGTTACTTGGATAACTCCCAGGTTCCTGGCTGGAACTAAAATTCCAAAGAGATTGTTCTTTTTGTTTGTTCTTTGGACTGTTATTTCCTAATTAATAAACACAAATAATAATATCATTTTATTATTATTATTTCATGCTGTATGTCCCAATCAAGTGAAATAGAAGTGCTGCAGAAATGCCATGTTTTTGCATGGTAAATCTCATTTTATATTTTATTACATGCAAAGAGAAGGAAAAATGTGTACATTATCTTTCATACTAAAAAAGAAACAATCCTATACAAAAGTACTTATGCGGTACTATTTTGAATAAAATCTATCTCAACTTTCAATGACTAAATAAACATCCGTATTAGTTTTTTGGCAACATTATGTAAGTAGTTAGTACTTAATTTTTTTCAGAAGCAATATTAAATTGTTTACTTATTTTTACACCGATATACATAAACACACATACATACACAAACATCACAGACGCAGAAACACACACACACATTTCCAAGTCAGTGTTTTGACTTCTGGAGATTGCATAGGGATACTTTCTTGGTAAGGTTTTCCAGAAATGGCTTGCCATTTCCTTCTTCCTAGATGAAGAGTGAGTGACTGGTCCAACATCACAAGCTGGCTTTGTGTCCAAGATGGGACTAAAACCCATGGTCTCCCAGTTTCTAGGCCAATGCCTTAACCACTACATCAAATTGGCTGTCAGGACTATTATTTCAAACATTTAAAAACAGGACTTCTACAGAATAACTACATCCAGGAACTATTACGTATAACGTCATTATGTGAATGTTACTATAATAGGATCTGAGGTAGTAAATTAACTACATTTAATAGACATAGGTTATTTATTTTGTTTTGGCTGAATGAATAAGGAGCTCCAATTTAGTTACACTCTTTTCATTGAGACACGCATCCATCTGATCTGGAAATCTAGCAATACAGCAAGAATTGTTCTGTGTTTTAAATCCAGAAAAAAAGCCTGAGCAATGCGGCCTCCTTAGTATACCAATAACTTGGTAGTATACCAAGAACTACCTGTGTAGGATGACTTGCTTTTCACTAAAAGGATAAATTTATGTCTTGTCAGAATCACTTTAGTGTGGAGGTGCAGATTGATGCGCATATTTTTTCTGTGCAATAAAGTTCTGTTGATATAAATAAATAGCACAAATCCTTGTATACACATGTGACTTTTGTTTGTTTTGTATAGGGCAATCAGCAAATATGTGAACCCTACACAAGATTCTCTCCCCAGGAAATGCTCAGCCTAAGAAAGTAAAAAGACAGGTGAAAGGGTTGAGGTGTGAGTGGGTTGTATGGAAAAAAAATAAACACTTGGGTCACATGGTATGGAGTGAGGTTAAAATGTGTAACCTATTTTTACAGATAATTATTTTAGAATTCCGTAGCAAATTGAGGAAAGGAGCCTGCCCACATTTCTGTGGAACAAATAAGTACAACAAAACCTGTATCTCGAGGGCCTCTGTGTTTTGAGAAAAGAAGACTGCTTGGCTTTGCAGGCTGCAAATGGCCTATAGCATTGTGATAACCCAGCAGTGTTTTTCAGCTGTGACACAGATGACAAATTTGCATTTAAAGAGGAGCTGGGATCTAAATGGCAGAGATTTCAAGGCAGCACAGTCGGTGGGGAGGGAGAGAAAATGAGCTTATGGGCAAGAGAAAAGAGCTAAGCTGCAATCCCCACTGTGCACCAGAGCAAGGGATATCATTCCTGGCCTCGAACTGCTTCACAACCCCGCACCATTCACACGCCCTTTGGCCACTTAGAGCTCAGGAGGGGAGAAACAGCATTAGAGGACTCAATAGAGATTTCCGAGCCTGACTGGTGGGCTCTCAGGGGGATGGCAGGGCAGGGTGAGCACAGGCCCCGTTGCCAAGAGGTGGCCGCAGAGAATGCCAGCATGGGCACCACCGCGCCTGGCGGAAACATTCCACATTATGTGGGTAATACAGTGTGACACTCCACAAACAATGGCAAATCAAGTGTCCCAGCAGGTAACAGGGTCTGGATAGGAGGCCATGACAGTGAAGCTCTGTCAAGAGTCCCTAATCCACCCAAGCTCTGCTCCCCCCTTGCCCCTTGATGCTTCTGAGAACTTCACTTGTATCACTGGGAAGCCTTTCCCAGCTATCCCCAACCCCCTCTTCCCATCTGCAAGAGAATTCCAGGGTATAATTGAGAGGGGGCAGTGGAATGGGGGCTGATCCTTCCGTATACATAGGCTCCAGGACAGTTTTGCATTACCCTTGGATTCCCATTCTTAAGATAGCATCCCAGATCCAGTTACTCTGGTTTATTTCCCAAACTTTGAATCCTAGAGTTTATTTCCCAAACTTTGAATCCTGCCTAATGAAAACAGAGTCGCTTTCTCCCACTACTTTCCTTTTCAGAGCGGAAGAATTATTTACCTCACTGGAGCCTACCCTTGGCATTACTGCATTAGTTATTGTGCTGTTCAAACTTTTGCTGAGGACAATTATTTAAATGATAAATTTCACTTTTTCACATTTATTTTATTTTAAAAACTAACCTCAAAGGGCCAGAAGACTCTTCAAACCCAAGTCAGAATGATAGTCTTCTCCCTTTTCTCCTCTTTTAAAAGTGGTGTTTTTCCACATTTATGGCTTAGGCTCTGGCTTAATGCAATGTGTCAAGTCAACTCAGCTAGTATTTTATTAAAAATTAATGAAAGTACAAAACCCGTCAAAAAGATAGAAAGAAAGTAAGGGCAGGAGCACATTTTTAATGCTGGGATGTAAATGATTGATCCAGTTATTTGCAAAAGACTGTTCATTGTAGCCAACTAAGAGTCTGTTTTGCACAGAACATGTTCACTGGGTCATCTTAACACTATGCCACCCACAATTGTAAAAGGTCAGATATTTCCTATGTCATTTTGGAGAGATCAGCTAAGTAACTTCCTCATGTTTTGTTGCATTGTCCCGCATATTAATCTTGGTGCTCTGTTTTAATAACGTCTCTGCTACTTTAAGAGCTTCAGTTGGCCAAGGAAACTAATTATTTTCATGTCTGAAATAAGCAAGACACTTGCTAAATTCTTTTCTATAGCAATGGCTATAAGGATCACTTCAGTGTAATGCTGGAATTAACCTAGGATTTCTGGTGCTACAGTATATAGTTAAAAATAGAATTACTTTAGTACTTTTTAATTGTTCATATTCCCATATATTTATTTTGCCATGGAATGGTTTTGATTATTCATAAGTAATTAAATTGGGACTTTCTACCCTTTTGCAGCCACACGAGAATCAGCTTTTGTGCATGCCATTGCCTCTGCTGGTGTGGCATTTGCTGTCACACGGTCATGTGCTGAGGGTACTTCCACCATTTGTGGCTGTGACTCACACCATAAGGGACCACCTGGTGAAGGATGGAAATGGGGAGGCTGCAGTGAAGATGCTGACTTCGGGGTACTTGTCTCACGAGAGTTTGCAGATGCCCGAGAAAACCGTCCAGATGCTCGCTCTGCCATGAACAGGCACAATAATGAAGCTGGAAGAACAGTGAGTGCCTCCCCTCTTTATATTCTTCTGAAAAAGAATGAGCAACAGAGTACTTGTGCTCTGCATTCCTGGGGATTCACTGCTGGAAAAAATTGCCAATGCAAGAGCCCAAATCTCAGCAGCCCTCTGATCCAGACTAAAGCACTGTTGATGGCTTCAATCAGTGGACAAATAGAAACTTATTTTCTCTTTTCTCCTTATCAGCTGCAGCCATTCAAGGCCTGCCATTCAATCATCTTCCTCTTGTCACCATGGCTCATGACCGATCAAGAAATAGAAGAAAAACATATAAAAACCTTTGTCCTGAAGGCAACTATATGTCCATAGTGCTTTCTAAGAAATAGCATTATCTGGAGATTAGAAAAAAAAGGTAGAGAGAGAAGTATTTGATGGCTCAGGCAAGGGACCAGCCAGTTGAAGAGTTCAATTACATTTTGGCTTGTCCAAATTCCTAAGGTATTTGCTTAAACTATCATGATAAGAGAATGATTGCCTGCATTTCCAGGCAGGCTGTAGTGACAACTTCCGCCACCCCTTGTCAACAAAGCCATGCTGTCTGAGAATGATACAAATTGAGTTTTAACACATCTTGACAGCATGAAGTTGAGGAACGATCCATTTTGATTATGTTTCTAAATTCATACTATCCCAATTCATTATAAATTCTTAAAATAAAATAGTTCTGTTTAAGAAGAAATAATTTAGAAGAGTACAATACCCTAACAGTTTGATTAATAGTCATTGGTCAAACTAAAGTTACTCCTCTAGAAGAGAGAACAGATGAGTTTGTATTTTATCAGCAGGTCAAAAGACTATAAGGACAAAATTGTCCTAATGAAAATTGTATAGAAGAGATCCTAAAAACTTCCCCAGTTTTACGTCACTTGACTTTTTGTTTTCTTTTGCAGACTATCTTGGACCACATGCATTTAAAATGCAAATGCCATGGCTTGTCTGGCAGCTGTGAAGTTAAAACATGCTGGTGGGCCCAGCCAGACTTTCGGGCTATTGGTGACTACTTGAAGGACAAGTATGACAGTGCTTCGGAGATGGTGGTAGAAAAGCATCGGGAATCCCGTGGTTGGGTGGAGACACTGCGTGCCAAGTATGCCCTCTTTAAACCACCAACAGAACATGACTTGGTCTATTATGAGAACTCACCCAATTTCTGTGAACCCAACCCTGAGACTGGGTCATTTGGTACAAGGGACAGGATGTGCAATGTGACTTCACATGGGATTGATGGGTGTGATTTGCTCTGCTGTGGCCGTGGCCATAACACTAGAACAGAGAAAAGGAAAGAGAAATGCCATTGCATTTTCCACTGGTGCTGTTATGTCAGCTGCCAGGAATGCATTCGTGTTTATGATGTTCATACCTGCAAATAAGAAAAGGTATGTATGGGGTAAAGGACTACCTAGAACAAAATTTTGTTGCTGCAATAGTGCAGTGGTTCTCAACCTGTGGGTCGCGACCCTTTTGGGGGTCGAATGACAATTTCACAGGGGTCACCTAAGACCATCGGAAAACACATATTTCCGATGGTCTTAGAAACCGAGACACTGCTCCTCTATCCAGCCGCTGCCATCACCGCTCTCCTCCTCCTCTGCTGGCTCCTCCGCCTCCAGGGTGCCCTTGTCCTCCGACAGCGCCTGCTCCTGCCACCGCAGCGCCATCGCACGCGCCCCGACGCCACCCTGGGCTGGCTCAGCGGCTGGTCCAAGCTGAGCCGGGTCTGGGCCGCTGCTGGCGCTGCCAGCTGAGCTAAGTTGCAGCACCGAGTCGGTCTCCATGCCTCCTAGTTGCCCGGCCACGCTCCATCCCTGGCTGCCCTCCGTGCCGCGCGGGAGCCTTCCCCGCGCCGCCCGGCCAGCCTCCCTCGCCGTTGGAGGTCACCTCGGCCCTCTAGCACCTGGCGCGGCCGTGAGGCTGCTAGGCAGGAGCGGCTCCTTCCCGGCTTGCCAGGCTCCGGGTCTTGGAAGCAGCCAGGGGGCGGGGAAGAGGGCGAGGTGGTGGCGATGCCCACATGTGCATCGGAGGCCAGCCGGCCGGGCCGGGAGGGGAGAAGCAGCGCCTTCCGAGCGGGAGCTGGTGCTCCGGCCATGCCCCTATTGCGTGCGATGGGCTGTGCGGCATGGAAAGGGGCTCCTGCGACCCCACCACTGAGATGGCGCTCAGGAGGCTGGAGAGGAGGGCAAGTCCCGGGGGCAAGCTGGGAGAGGGCAAGAGGTGCTGGGATGAGAATGGGGGGCTCCAGGTTGGCGGGTGTGAGAGGGCAGCCGGCAGCTCCGAGGCATGCGGATCCTCCACGCAATTTCCGAGGCCCCGGATGTGCCGCCGCTTGGCTCTCCACCAGGCTCTCCCCCAGAGCCTCCCCCCTCCCCGGGCAATTGTGCAGAGCTGCTTGTGCGTCCTTGGCAGCATCTCCCCCCTTCAATCTCTCTCTCCTTCCTTTTTTCCTTCCCCCCCTTCAATCTCCTTCCTTTCCCCTTCAATCTTCCTTCCTTTTCCTTCTCCATCTCCTTCCTTTCCCCTTCAATCTTCCTTCCATCTCCATCTCCATCCCTTGGCGGGTGTGAGAGGGCGGCCAGCGGCTCTGAGGTGGATATGCCTCTGCTTGGCTCTCCACCAGGCTCTCCGCCAGAGCCTCCCTCTCTCCCTGGGCAATTGTGCGGAGCTGCTTGTGCGTCCTTGGCAGTGCCTCCCCCCTTCAATCTCTCTCTCCTTCCTTCCTTTCTTCCCCCTTCAATCTCCTTCATTGTCCATCTCCTTCCTTTCCCCTTCAATCTTCCTTCCTTCCTTCCATCTCCATCCCTTCCCTTTCAATCTTTCTCCTTCCTTCCTTCCTTCCTTCCCCCTTCAATCTCCTTCCTTCTCCATCTCCTTCCTTTCCCCTTCAAGCTTCCTTCCTTCCATCTCCATTCCTTCCCCTTCAATCTCTCTCCTTCCTTCCTTCCTTCCTTCCTTCCTTTCCCCTTCAATTTTCCTTCCTTCCATCTCCATCCCTTCCCCTTCAATCTCGCCTTACTTCCTTTCCTCTTCAATCTCCTTTCTTTCCCCTTCAATCTTCCTTCCTTCCTTTCTTCCATCTCCATCCCTTCCTCTTCAATCTCTCTCCTTCCTTCCCCCTTCAATCTCCTTCCTTCTCCATCTCCTTCCTTTCCCCTTCAATCTTCCTTCCTTCCATCTCTATCTCCATCCCTTCCCCTTCAATCTTTCTCCTTCCTTCCTTCCTTCCTTCCTTCCTTCCTTCCTTCCTTCCTTCCTTCCTTCCTTCCTTCCCCCTTCAATCTCCTTCCTTCTCCATCTCCTTCCTTTCCCCTTCAATCTTCCTTCCTTCCTTCCCCTTCCCTCCCTCCCAACATTTTTGAGCAAGGAAGAGCTTCTCCAGCGAGCATTGCTATATTGTTTTTGTGATTAATCACTATGCTTTAATTATGTTTAATTCTTAACAATGAAAATACACTCTGCATATCAGATATTTACATTACGATTCATAACAGTAGCAAAATTATAGTTATGAAGTAGCAATGAAAATAATTTTATGGTTGGGGCTCACCACAACACGAGGAACTGTATTAAAGGGTCGCGGTATTAGGAAGGTTGAGAACCACTGCAATAGTGGTTAAAGAATATAAGAAGGAAAGTCTCCAGTTTGAAGCTCACCTCCATCCTAAGCAATCTTAAATAGCATGCAGTGTGGATATCTCTCATATATGAAACATTTGTGAAGACTCCTTTGCTCTCATTACATGAAATGCTCAGAAAACACAAAATGCTCTGCAAGAGCACTCATTATTAAATAAAATCTTGCATGAATTTTAGTGCCATGTAGAACTTTCCCTAAGTTAAAACTATAGATTTCTTTCCCAATTTTTTGGGAATTAGCTACTATTTCTCATACACAAGTATGCAAAGTGGTGCCCCAAATGTGATCTTCCTAGGATAGTTGTTCAGCAGAACACAAAGGACGCTGGAATTTGAAAAGGGTGCATATTTTCTAAAACTGAACATGGATATGTCACTATCCCAATAACTAGGTTTCATATAATTCTTAAGATTGGAGAATACCACCCAAGAGAGCAGCAAACAAGATATGAGAGGCTAAATCATATGGGGAGAACAAATAAGGCTGTGTTTGAAATACAGAAGGAAATAATTCTGTGAGGACTGAAAAAAATAAAATTATTTAGAAAAACACATTAATTAGACTGACAATAACACAGATACAACATCTTACTACCTTTCAGATGTGCTTGCCCATAAGGCCCATAATTCCGATCTGGTTCTTGTGCTGTCTGGAACTTTATATCTGGAACTCACCCATGTTGGGGAAAAATGAATTATGAGCAAAAGGACAATACAGAAAGCATGGCAGAGTTATCAAAATTGGGGTTGTATCACCATTCAATTTCCAACTTTTGGAGGAGACCTAAATGGTAAATTGACTAAACCACTTCTTTCATAACTTCAGTTAGAAGAGTGGAAACGTGTAAAGTCATAAATCAAGCTCAAATAAGAAGTTCTCTGAAGAATTCGAATGGCTGCCCAATATTTTATGCTACTTAGCTTGTCATAATAAGCATTTGAACCTATATATTTTTTATTTTGAACAATGGACCAAAATAACACAGATTATTAGACAACATCTGAATGAACAAATATGCTTGCAAATGCAATACTTTGCTTCCATTCAAAGTATGAAATGCTCTTAACATCACAATAGGTCACAATTGGATTGAAGGCAAAGTTGTTAAAAAAAATCAAATATGAGTGTCAATGAGATTAGTCCAACTATGGTGGTTGAATTTTTTTTCATGTGGATTCCTTGTTTGAGATCTCTAAACAATACTGCAAAAATAAGGGACAAATTTGAATAAGAAAAAAGTATAGGGTCAATAGACTAACTTGTTCCTCTCAAAGTGAAGTCATATTTCTATCTCACCTTGTGAACGCTATTAACTTAAGGAAAACCAAATCCATTCAGAGATAAGAGAAGCACAATTTAGACAAGGAACTAGGAAAGTTCATAATGTCACAACAAAAAATTGTGATCATACCATTTGCTGATTAATTTTCTGTGGAAAGAGCTTTATGGTATAGCTGGAGGATAAAGAAAAAGTGAGAGACTGTCTGGGAACACTGGACAATGGAGAAGAGAAAAAGATAGCACACCCAGCTTCCTTCTCAATTAAGGCAGGCAATGATGAAATAAAGTCCTTGAAAACAATCCAACCAGACTTCTTCAGATTACTTAGCAACACCTGCATTTCTTCTTGAACAGGTTGCATTATGGCGGCTGCGGTGACCTCTGAAGTTCCTGAGGTAGTGTTCCCAATATTTAAAGATTGTTTGTTTTGCACATATGAGAATATATTTGTTTAAAAAGGAGCAAAAATGTTTAATGTGGCACTCACTGTAACTATTCATGGTGGTAAATGATGTTAAAAATTCACAGGAGTAAGAGCTAGGCTCAAAAATATGTGAAAGGAAGAATATCAAATGATAGCAGGCAATTCTTCCTAAACTCTTCATCAAGTGCAGTTATTTTATGAATAATTTAATGTGAATCTTCCTTCCATTTCCAAATACATAGCCCTATAATCAAGTTTTTTAAATCTGTAACATAGCTTGGATTTTGGAGTTGAAATATTAGAGTGACAGCATTTCATTTTTTTTTCAATTGACCAAGCTTTTGCTTAGTACAACTTTTAGTCCTTTGATTAACAGTGATCCATCATACAGAAAAACACATTATGTTTAATATGCACAAACACACATGCGTACCCATACATCTTTAAATATTAGTGTCCCAGAATACATAGAGACTAGAAGAAGGGAAAGTGAGACTCCGAAATATCAGCAGCCAGCTCCTTCTTCAAAATCCAAATTTCTATCTAAACCTGCTTGGGACTGCTGAGTTAAACTGAATTAATAGAAGAAAGAGTTATGATTGGCAACCAATCCATGGGGCATGTTCTTTTTGTTCTGTTTTAACCAACAAAGTTAATTATTGTTCTTGCTTCTCCCTCCAATGATTCAAGTGAGCAATTCTCTCTCCTCATTCAAGCACCAAGTATTCGTCTCAAAATGTCATGGTTCCTGGAGAACATCGAACATACTCAGACAATGTTGATACTGCTTACCTTTATTTATAAACCTACATGTTTCTGGATACCTAGAGGACACTACCAACTATCTTGTTCTGGGGTGTTCTAATTCCTTTACATAGAGACAATGAGACTTTCTAAGTTAGCTTTCTACCCCTCCTATAAATACTCTTTTTTTCCAACTGAATGGATTTAAGTGCTGCCTGCTAACTTCAGGACACATTTTTCTTAAAATTATTAAAATTTCAGGGAGAGCATTATTTAAGTTTTCTATTATTTTGATCTTTCTCACACACAGTTTTGCTTCTGACTCCTTCCAAAATATTGCAGTGGTACCACTAAGTCAACCCATCTAAAGTTGAACCAATTATTTGAACTCTACTGAAAAATTAAGGATGATTGTTACTAATAAGGATAGATTTTATACTTACAAAGTGTTCCAAAGTATTTGAGATATGTAATTAGCATCTGCTTTATCTTACAGTTTCTTTCCTTCTGGTCCAAACTAATATAGATCCTGGCTTCATTGGAATTTGCCATTTGCACCCCTTGTGCATAATGCTGTTTTCTTAAGCCTTCTCAAAGTGTCCCACTTTGTATCCCAGAGGTGTGAGAATTTAATTCCAAATGAAAAATTTGGAATGGATTAGAACTGTTTATTTTTTTGAAATAGCACATATTGTGCATAAAAGATGGTCTAACTCAGTGATGGCGAACCTTTTAGAGACTGAGTGCCCAAACTGCAACCCAAAACCCACTTATGCATCGAGTGCCAGGTGGGCGTGGCTGCAGTGGTAATGGCAGACTGGGTAGGACTAAAAAGTTCAATCAATCAATTCCAACTTTGCAAGATCTTTTTTTTCCCCGCGAGAAGTTGAAATTGACTGATTGAACCTTTTTTTTTTTTTTGCACACAACGGCGGCGACCTAAAGTGAAAAGGTTTTATAAAACCAGTTGAAGGCCTAGGAGTGGGGCGACAGCGCGTGTGCCCACAGAGAGGGCTCTGAGTGCCACCTCTGGCACCCGTGCCATAGGTTCGCCACCACTGGTCTAACTAATTTTACGTGGCACTATATCATGCTGACCAAATGCATTCAACTGGCTTTATCTGTCAAACCATTCCCTACAGTGTGGTTTGAGTGCTCTGCTATCTGTACCATTTAGTTTAGTCAACTAATACCAGCCAAAAGAAAGGTAATGCATTTCTATAACCTTATCATCAACTTAATAAAAACTGTTTCCACTTGCTGTGCATCTATCATAGAGAACCTTTCTGTCCAATTCGATCCTTGCTTACAAAAAAAAACCCTGAACAAAAAATATTTTCTTTTAATAATCCCACTATAACTATAGTATAGAGATAGGTCAATATTAACCAACATTCATATTAATCAATAACAGTTAACAAAATTCAAACTTATTAGAGGAATTAATAGTCAGTTTTGACATCACTGAGCATAGTTAAAATATTATATCATTAAATGGAAATATATTCCACTAGAATAGCAGGAACAAGCTTACGATCAATTTAGCCTGCTTTTAGTCTCTTAGAATAACTTAAATATACCCTTTGAGGAGGAAGAAATGTTAGGTATGTTTGCCACCTTCAATTATTTTTTACAATTATTGGTGGGCTATAAATAATTAAATATGGAAATAATTTGTCACTGCTTTCTTACAGGATTTTTTTAACTTTCCAAGTGTAACTTCCAGCAGTAGTATTTTTTGGTAATTCCTATCCAAGTACTAACCATATCCAGTTCTGCTTATTTTTTTTTTTTATTTTTTTTTTTTGAGATCAGCCAAGGTCAGTGAGTTGCATTATTTAACTTCAGTGTGTCTAAGAAACCTCTAATTTTAAGCATTTGAAGGAGTGGAGTAGAAATATGTATTCTAATAAATTATATATTTTACTCATCATTCAGGAATCATTGAAAATTGGTTTCAAAATGCACTTGCTACATTTCAAGGGAAGTATTTTCCATTTTTTTGTTACATTTAGAATGTATGCTTGTTGTCACATTAAAAACTGACTTAAAAATAAGAAATATATTCCTTATTAGACTATAGTGGTTTTGTCATTTTTTTCTTGCTGTAGATATTGTAGATTTTAAAGGGAGTATAGTTGTAAGAAAGCAAGCCCTGCAGTCTATCTGCTTCCCTTTCCCTCAACCTGCTGCATCCAAAGTTCTTTATTAAGCAGAAAAGATTGTCCATAATCTGGTGCTCATTTAAAGGAGTTGGACCACAACGCCCAGAATCTTTAAACAGCTCAGCTTAATAGATCAGAGGTGTTGAGAGCTATCAAACACATCTAGGAGAACACCAGGGGACAAAGCAGCTCTAGAGGGTATTCATCTTTTATTTTAAGCTGTATTCTGAAAATGCTGTTTTTATAATTATTTATTATATAATGTATATACCTTTGAGTTAACTAAGATTATATATTATATAAATATATATAGATATATTTGAAGAAAAATATATTTCATCTTTCCTTGTTTCTCATGTCAATAAAGATACAAAGGCACTTAAAACAATCTTTTTAATATTTTCATACTGTTCTTGTGGATATAATCAACTATTATGTAAGGAGGTGTTGCTGATTTCTAAAAACCGTAGCATACTGTAATTTTTCTGGGTTATAAAAAGAGATCTGAGAAAATGCAGTTGGAATCCACAAAGTACAGCAAAAGAAAATCATAATCAATTTTTTTTGCAATTTAAATGTTATCGCCTTCCCATTCTTTTTTAATCCTAAGAATTTCGACCAGTAAAAGTATACTTCAGGATTGGGACAAACTTTAAGTAGGAATTTCATGTTTGCTCTTAGCTAATCCTAACTCCTAACTTTTGAATCTCAGTAGCCTTGAAAATATACTCACCCAGCCCAGTGAGGCCCAGTCAATTTTGGCCAGAAGTTAAACTTGTGATTTTTTTTTTTTTGTTCTCTCCCAACTCTATCATAATTAAATGTATCCTCTAATAGGTAATAGTGAGTTGCTTGAAAACCCTTGTTCTTTTGAAATGAGCATTTTCTGCAGATCTTTCAGGAGAACTAATTTACTCATCCCGTCATTTCAACTATTTAGAAACCATCAATACATTTTAAACATTTGTGCCTTTTTATTGCATCCTGCATTTTAACATACAAGCAATCTTTATATATATATATATATATATATATATATATATATATATATATATATATATATATATATATATATATATTTGTATTTTTCTTTCTCAGTATAGCTTTGGACAAAAGAACCCACAATAAAAATGTTTATATTATTTGATCCAAGAGAGTACAATATGTATGCTTCGCTTTTAGTGAAAAATGGAAGGAAAGGGGGGGGGAGGAGTTTGGGAGGACAGCAGAGAAAAGTCTAGCTGAAAGCAGTTCAATCATATCACCTACAAAACATGGAAGTCTTTACATGTACACCAGACATTCACACATTATAGTTCATGGCAGAAAATCAATAAATATGAATAAGAGATAATTCTAATCCATAGTAAAATAAATATCCATTATAGTTCAAATACACTGCAGCAGTTTCTAATACTGCAGGTCTGTCTTTTTTAGCACAGAATTGGAAGATGTCAAGTACTGTTTTTATTTTTCCAAATTTAGCAACTTGGAGAAACAGGGAAAGGGAACCACGCCAATAATAGAGTAGCCCATTTGTTGAATTTGAGTAAATGGGTTACATGCAATGAACTGTTTCTAAAAAAGAGCTTAAGAGCCAATAAATATTTTGTTGCAAGAGGGAATGACAGCTGTGCATTTAGTTTCCTTCTATTTCTAGCTATTTAGAACACCTTAAACTCAACTGCATCCTTCTAGTTCATACTTCTATTCTATTAGGCAACTCCTAATAGACAAGAATCTTGACAAGAATTGCAAACAAACTACTTATATGATAGGCAAGGATAAGATGTGATATAATTAGTATGATAGGTAGCTAACTGGCTCCAATTTAAGTACATACTACATTCTTTAGGATGTTGGTCAGTGTGCTTACCCTAAAGGATGGAATGATAAGAAATAAGTGATTGAGCATTCTAAATAGCAGCCTATTGCTCTCACTGATTCAATATTGCATTGTACACCAAAAAAATCACAGGAAAACATTTCTGGAAAAGGCAAATTAGGCTTTCCCCTAATTTCTACTATGCAGAATATGAGGCCAACAGCAGACAACAGCCAACCACAGTGACTGAGATTAAATGTCAATAAGCTACTTGCTAAGTGGCAGAGGAAGGAAAGAAGATACATTATGAGCTCAACATCTTACAACTGCATACTTGACAGATCTCTTAAAAATAACTGTGCAACATTTCCATAAAGGAGACAGATTGTAGCAGGTAAGGGTCAATGTGACAAAAGATAAGAATGTTCTCAAAATGTTATGGGAATCAAGGGTAGCTTGCTGCCTGTTCATAGTTTAGGTATGTCAGATGCTCCACTGTTGCTTCTGTAGCTGGTGATCAAATTCTATTGAACCTCAACTAGCTGAGCCACTGCAAATGCTGATGTGTACTTGCAGGCCAGCAGTTAATCTTGCCTAAAATCTAGGTAGAAAGCAGCCCTTGGAGCTTAATTCATCTGAAATGAGAGGCTTTACACCACATATGTATTTTCTTGAGAGGAGTCTGAAACTCCACAATATGGGACAAATCTACAAGAACAAGCAGCTATTTAACAAGATTGGGGTGGGAAAAATAATCACCAAATGTTTATAACCATGCAGACTGTTACTAGCTTTCACACTGGATTGGTGTAAGCTAAGAATGGAGGGATTTCCCCATATTTTACGCCTGAGTTTCAACATTAATGTATGTAGTCTGCACATGGCACATTTCCACTCCTTTGCTTGTGCACCAATATAAATCAAGTGGGTGCATTCAACAAAGCAGTTATTCTAGAATAAATTTGATTTGTCACAATACACCAGGATATCAAAGACAAAGGTGAAGTACTTAGTTGTATCTAACATGCAAAAAAAAAGTTCAGGAGAGTTTCTGAAGAGAACCAAGCATTATGCAGTTGTCCAAACGTGCCACATGGAGGAAGGTCCCAGAGAAGCAGTCTTCTGCTTGGCTATTTTCCAGGTCACCAGCCTTTAACAAGGTTCAAGCTTCATTCTAAATCCAGTGGACTACTGCAAAGAGAGAGAGTGCAACAGCCACAAGGATAGGCAGGTCTTGGGGAATGGGTGGTGGCACACAGAGATGGTCATCCAAAGAGGGGAACTGCATGCAAATTTGCAGACCAGTTGTGCCTCAGACATTATTCTCAATAGCTGCAAAAAAAAAAGAGGGTTGTACTCTGACTCTGCATTAAAACAGGCTATGGGAAAATGACAAAGCTAAAAACTGTTTCCCAAACATACTGGTTAAAGAAGTGAATTCTATTTCATCCCAACATTAGGTGGTTACCTGAACTAAATAAATAAAGTAGCATTTTAATGTACTGGCACAGTCCCTGTCTAGAAGTTATGAAAGGATTAAATAATAGATTCATCAACTCAAATAATGCACTATCCTTCTTATTAGACCTGAATAGATCTAACTAGAAGAAAAATAGTATCAGCATTTAAAAATATCTCAAATACTATCCCTTGAGGGATTATGGTTTCATGCGGGGAAATAAATACACATGTAAGGAGAACACACATTACTGTAACTTTCCATTCACCAAAAACTCCCTCTATTGGAAGCCAGCATGTCATGGAATCAAAGTGTTAGCTTTGCTTGCTCCTTGATGTGCTAGTTTTATATATTCAGAGAATCTGAAAAGGTAAAAGCCAGAA